CCAGGAGCCCCTAGTAGCGACCTTGCCAGACCCGTGGATCCACGGACGTCCGTCATCGACAGGAGTGCTCGCCCCTCTGTTGTCCGGAAGTCGGTGACCTTCGGTCCTGAGTCCTTGCCGCTTGGCTGAAGCTTGCTGAACAAAACGTCGGTCACCTTGATGAAGGGCTCCGACCCGATTCTTGTAACTCAAACACTCCATGGAACATCATGGCAGCTGGAATATTTATACATCCCTTGACCCCCTTTTTGAATCAGATGGGGTGCAATCCATGGAGTGCCGTTAGGGGTGCCCAGGACATCCACTCACTTGATGGGACGAGCCACACCACCCCGAGCTCTGTGACCCATGGTAGTGGGACTGGTTTGGACACTGATCGTGTGGTTGAGAGATGAGGGGTCGTCTATGGGGTCTATGGGGTCATGGGGCTCGGTGTTTCTGTGCCAGTTCCAGGTGGTGTTTGGGATAGTCATGGGCCTAAACAGCTTGACAAGATTTATCTTGGGATGGTCCTCCTTTGGCGGACCGACCCACACTACATGACTCATGCGATGGTTTTACCTGTTTTGGTCAGCTCTGCTTGGGCATCCACCGTTGTGATGCCGGTTGGACAGTGTAACACTGAACCTTTCTGCACTTCCGTGGCTTCTTCGCGGCCGCGCGTCCACTCCTCCGCGCGGTGTCGGCAACGCTTCGCTTCGCTCTTCACGCCGACAGGGGCAGCTCTTGGCGAATCGAACTCTCGACCGGCGCGGGGGAGTTCCTGGCACAGCTACTGGGCACCGAACAGGGTCGGAGACCGAACAGGTCAGCGGGGCGGAGGGTGTCGGATGCGGTGGGCGGCGGGGTTTGGGAGCATGGGTGTGTTTGGCAGGGAAAGCCAGAAGAATTCTGAGAGCCAGACGCTCTACAGGAGAATTCTGCAGACTTCTGCCAACACGCGATTGAAAGCTTATATAAACCTGTTTAAACCTTTAAACCACCCAGGTGGCGCCCAGACCCGACCCACCCCACGGGGGTTGAACGAATTCACTGAGCTGTGCGGGAAACTGTAAGACTGTAAGGCCACCACTTGCCATTGGCGTGACGCTGTTGCGCCCACCCGTCAAGGGCTTAAACTGTTCTAAACCAGGACCTTCAAGGGGTGGTTAATGGACACCCCTTAACGGCTAAGGGGCTATAAATAGACACCCCTTGGAGGGTCCTGGAATGTTATTGACAGTTTCTATAAGTCTTGGGCCAACGTTGCGACCACAGGCCGGAGATCTCTCCTGTTGGCCATGGAGAGTTCATGCTCGAACATCTTTGCCATTGCACTGTAACTACAGCCATGCAGCACATGCTACGATGCGCTCTGTGTGTGTGCCCAGTTTGCCTGCGATTTGCCTGCAACCTGGGAGCGACGTGTTTCCCATCCTGATCAGATGTCCATTCGCTGGGTGTCTTCCCCCACCAAATCAATCTTGAAATGGGTTGTGTCGGAGCTCGGCGATTGTTCGATCATACCACCTTCAAAGTGACCTCTTTGGAGTCTCTGTCTGTGACCTTGTACAGACCTGTTTGTGACCTCATCCTGGGATATCAAGTTGGGTCACGTACTGAAGGTCCTGGTATTGAACATCATTTCAAGCAGGGCCGTGTGCTTCTTGAGGGCGGGGGCCATGAATCCCCACCAACTACCTCCGTTTCGAAGGTGGTTAAGGTGGGTGGTTAAGGTAGGTGCCAGGGGGGTCTAACCATCTGAGGATATGGGACAGGAGCCCGAACGGGATCGGAATCGTCCGGAACTTGGAACGTTGGATGACGAGTTCTTGGGTCATGCACATTGACATGGAAGTATCCGGAACTTGACACTCCAGCCTTCACAGACCATCAAGGAGTGAAGACGGTTTCCCTGGGGGTTTTGGTTGTCTCAAATTCTACCCGAGGGATCCAGTCGTACCGAACCTCAGGCACCCTCCTGGCACCTACATAACAGTGCCTCCAATCACCGTACCTGAGGTTCGGTACGACTGGATTTCTAGGAATAGTATGGAATAGTAAAACTAAGGGCTGTTTTGGTACAGACCACCTGAGATGCCGGTTTAATGCCGTTTCTCACCGGTTTTCATCACGTGAAGCATCACCCTTTGAATTCGCCTTTTCAGACCGCCGTCTCGACCGTGGGGTGGCCGAGCTTCTGCTGAGGTCGAGCTTCTGCAAAGCAGGGAAGTTCCGGACTCAGATGACGGAAAGCCCCAGCATGGCACGTGCCTGTTTTGATATTCAGCTTGACATTCGACATGTTCACCTGTCTGTTCTTGTTGCTCAGAGTTCGGGGAAAAAAACACAAAATAAAAGAAAGAAGGCCTTCATATTTGGAAGTTTGATTGATACTTGTACCAGACATTGGGTTGCAAAAAGTTTTTATTTTTTGGAGAATCTTGCTTGATATTTATAGGAATGATTTCAATCAAACAGTTGCATCTACACAGTGTTCACACTCAGTATCAAAAAAGTCTACTCGACCCAAATGCCTTCGCAATCATTCAGTAGCGGTTTAATATTTTAATATGACATGTCACCCACCCCGAACTGTCCAGCGGAAGCAAGTGTAGCATGTGACATGTATACACATCACTCTCGAGGTTTGTTGGCCATTTTTGAGGTTTCTCCTGAGGTCTTGTGGTAAAATGATTGCATTTGCTTCAGAGAAGCTTCGCTAAAAGAGAACATAATATAGACTATAAAGAAGTTGTGTACTGATTGTTTCATGTTTGACGCACAGGTATAGGTATGACAGCACATCTAAAAGTTTGTGAATCATGTCCACTGAGGGTGGGTTCGTCCAATGCTTTGTTTCGTTGTTGGCACTGTTTAGAACCTCTTCAAAGCACATGGTATAGGCATGTGCAGTGAACACGGTGTTTTTGTTGGTGTCAGTGGCGAAGCACATGGCACTGGTTCAAATCTATATGACAGTATGTTCACAAGTTGTTTGGATTCTTCCAATTGATTGCGCGATGTTCACAATAGTTCCCATGCAGGGGTTCACACCGAACCTCAAGTGAAGGTTAGTTGGATCCCTACATTAATGATCTACTGATCAGACTCAATTGTCGGAAGCGTCGATGTCTATATTCCCCCAAGAGACAGTGGAGAGCGGAACCATGAGTGGAAGGGTGAATGCAGCTTTGATTGATATTCCAATATCTGATGAATGATTCTGGATCTTTCCCTATAGGGCTCCTGTCCCACATCCTGAGAAGGTAGGAACAGACCTCCCTGGCGCCCACCCCAACCACCGAACCTGAGGATGTGGGCCAGATTGGGCCAGGATCCCTAGGGTTTCTCGTTGTTCTGCGGGTCGCCCAGATCTCAAGGAGTCCGCACTCGTCCACTGCGGGAGCTGCCTCCTTCGCACTGATGAGAGCGGATGGAGTTGGGACGTCCAAGTGGGAGGAGTAGGAGTTCTTGAAGTCGACCGAAAGCCGAGAGCCGAGTTCTGGGAGTCATCCATTCCCACCCTAGGGATTGAAGTACCTTCTCAGCAGGTGATTGGAGACACCGCTATATAGGTTTGGAGGGTCCAAGTACCTTCTGAGAAGGTACTTGGATCCATAGGGCCAGTGACATATTCTCTGATGATCGGTGATTTCGGACACTCTTTCATCTATAATCTATATAGCTTGGAGGGTCCAGTCGTACCGAGAAGATCTGTGGATCCCTGGGATTGTATCAACTGGGACCGTCATCCTGTGACCGGTCGACTCTCACCGGAAGTCAAAGGGTGTCATCCTGCGACACGCTGGGGTGTCATCCTGTGTGGGTCAAGAAGGATCTACCCAGATGGACACATACAGGTTTGTCACTTGCAGGGTTGATGGAAGAGATGTGTTTGGAAACCTCCAAAAATGGGGCCAACACCGAAGGTTCTAGTGCCAAGGGTAGAGCTCTTGGAGTGTTACTTCGCACATACCCTCTCTCTCTCTCTGTCATTAACATGGAAGCAGAAGACTGCTTCCATCTTAGTTCCAGGGAGTGCAACTGGATCATGGTGCAGTTTGATGAGATAGTACCATGAGCATCGCGCAGGTGGCTTGCCACCGGGATGGGGCACCGGAAACAAGACTCTCATGGACCAGTGGCCAACAGAGCCTCGAAATACATTCAGTTCCAGGAACGAACCTTTGGACTACCCACCCAATCCGAGTTGCATCCATTTGCCTGTCTCTCGTTAGGCGCATTACGCCACCCTGCAGCGGAACCCGCAGGAGCACGGCACACCGGTGCGTACGCGCTGCTGACGCATATGCTGATGATTCATAGAGAACTGAACATCCAAAATCATGGGACACCCTACACAAAACAGGTACACCCCCGAAAACTAACATAGACCCTGACGTCCTGGCTCCCTGGAAGAGTGTTTTCCTCTACCAACCAGTTGTTTTCAGGGTCCATGGGATCGTCTTCCAGGGTGTACTTGCAATTAGTTTGAAGAACGACCATCAGGGCCAGGTTTGCTTCACCAAACATGTTTGGTCTAGTCCACTCATCATCCCAAGTGGGTTTTAGAACTCCCCTTTTTCTCCAATTCTTGCTGCTAGTTTCATGTGCGGTTGCAAGTTTTTACGATGGTATTGCTGTTCCTGCACTCTGCTCAAATAGCAGCTTGGCAAACATAAACCTGCCAAGGAAACACAGATAATTAGTTAGTTTCTTCAAACATATTTGCTACGAAGACATTGTCAGTGAAACATGTTCATGTTTCATGATAAGATAAGGATAGATAAGGTATTGTTATGCAACTAATGTGTTTTCATGTACCCTACAGCAAGTAAATGCAAACAAATAACATGCCGCGGTATCTTCTATTGACATCAATTCTTGTTCTTAGTCCCAAGCTCCTTGGAACTAGGAGACCTTTTGTGCTGCCAAGCTCTGCGATATTCTATGACAGTGTTTTGTGTTCTTGACGGTTGGCTTCTAGCAAGTCCGAATTCAGACCGACTCGCTTTGCCATGAGCAGCGGTTTGATCGATGAGGCAGTGGAATCTCCGGCATCTTACCTTGTGAGGCTATATCACTGCTGTTCTCGATTTCTTACAGCACTTGTCATCGTGACTTTGACGACATGGGCTGCGTTTTGTCTTGGTGAAAGCGCGTGCATCGGTGAGCCTAAAAGGCCAAGAGACTCCCTAACCCATTATGCCACCATGGTCCTTGTGCCTACAGGCGCAGCAGGTCTTGGAGCACTTTGCTTGTGGTGGAATGCCTCAACGCCACATATCCTAAAGGCCACTCACTTCCTGGTGGTGAACTGGGTTGGAGGTTTGGCTTCCCTGGGCCTCCTCAACTCTAATTCCTCCAATTGCAACGTTTCGACCAATATGTGGGTGGTTCTGAGAATTCTGATGCAAGTTACTGAATTTGTCCTTTTACAAGGGCTAATCCAGCATCGTTTTCAGAGTTTCTGGCCGGTGCTGAATCAGCCACGGCTTGCCAATTGCTTGCCACGAATGTTTAAGACGGAAGTCTTTTTGCTTGTGGCCGGGTCTGTTCTTGCTTTTGTTTTCGTGTTCGTCCACCTGTCTGTTGTTCCGACGTGGGGGTATGTGGCGACATGGGGGTTGCTGACATTAGTCCTCCTTTGCTTTTTCACCTGGGTGGTGTTAGTTGTTCTCACTTTGTGCTCTGTGGTTCGGAAGCTCCATGCGGCTGAACGCCTGGGTGCTGAAGAAGGGAGTCTGGAATGGTGCAAGGCTTGTCGAAGAGTCCGCCGAGCAGCCTTGCTGCAAGGCTTTGGGATGACAATCACATTGATGACCACGACCATTTTCTGTGGCATGGCTATTTTGGCATCAGAGGACCTAATGGAAGATCTTGATGCAGAGGCTCAGGCGGCTAGGCTGAATGCTGCTGTAATTGCCCAAATTGTGAACCTGCTTGTCAACGTCCTTGGCGTTTTCTTGTTTTCCGGAGCCTACCGGATGACGTGGCAGAGCTCAAAATTGCTCGCATCTCCAGAATCTTCCCCCTGCAAATGGCAACCTAAAAGCCCACAAGATGACCGGTGGGAAGCCAAGACCAAAGAGCTTGCTAGCCGTGGACTGCGTCTCCGGGATTTGTTGGCCTTTTACAAAAGGTTGGGGCAGGATTTGATGCTTTCGTACGAGCCTGGCGTTCACACTACCCAAGATGTTGTGAGACTGGCCATCATTCCTGAGACTTCATCGTGTCGCAGCTCCTATGCCCAACTTGTGAATCCTGGAGCCCAAGGTTTAACGCCTCGAGCCGGAGAGTTGGTTTGATTATAGGTTTTTCATTGGTTGGATTTATTGAACTGTCGTATTCGCATGTATTGACTAAGCATGTTTTACACATGTCTTGCTCGGCTGGATGTATACATGAACGGTGGGGGCGATCCATGTTGAATATTCCCTAAATTCTCGATGAGGAAAGATGGTGACTCACAACTGGTCCAACCTCTTCCGCGACTTACTGGCAAGTGTGGTTGCCGATGCCTTGGGTGAACACACCATTGAGCTTTTCGCACAGTTGCTGGAGGTGGAAGGAGGAGTTTATGTCGTGGAAGAACTGCTGGAGGTGCAAGGAAGCATCGATGAGACCTACTGGATCTGTGCCTTTGCCGTCAATCAACACAGTAATATTTGCGGCGGCAATCCAAAGGGAGATGTGGACTCTGCCACGCAGCGTCCATACCCCATTTGTCCGTGCGCCGAGCCGAAGTTCTTCAACAAAACACCACCTTTGAATGACGCTGGAGAGAGCATTGGCTGTGAGTTGAACAAATTCGATGATGCCCAGCTGGGAAGTTCAACTGCTATATATATATATATATTTTTTATATATTTGTGTGTTTTTTCCTGGAACCCATTTGACCTCTGTTTTGATAGGAAAAGACCATATTTTGGGTGGTTGGTGGTCCAAAATAGAGGTCATTCAGGTTCTAGGTATGTATATCTCTTAGTCGCCTGTTGGCTTTCACTTTCGATAGAGCAATCCGCAAGCCGCAACTTCTGGGCCCAGTACTTCCTGGGCCCTGTACTTGGCACCATGGAGACGACGCAGACGGGCAGACGGAAGTTGTCCTAATTGTGAATCCAATGTGGAACCCCTTGGATTTTAGGATTCAACCAGAACCAGTTCATTTTGGGGCGTTCCTTACATCAAAAGATACTTGCTGAATCTTTTGAACAAAAGCACACACACAAAAAAGAACAAAACAACGACCCGTGTAGAGGGTGAGTTTGCTTGAAATAGGGTTCCAGCCACCATTAATTTAATGGCCTTCGACGAACAATCATTGTTTAACTACGTTTTACTATATAAGGGATACTAAGCGTTTTACACCACGTCAACCTTGAGAAACCATGAAGGCTAGGATCGATATCTACAAAGGTTCTCTTTTTCAGCGTCACCAGCTGAGGACATGATGGCCTACCTCTTTCAGCAGAATCCGTGGTTTGCACAGGTCGTGGCCGTGGATGCTGAGCTAACGCTTTTCACGCGCGCCTGGTGCGTTGCGGAGCTGGCGCAGGGGCAGCGGATGGGCATGGCACAGAGCCTGAAGCTTCGGAACAAGGCCGTTGTTAGCTGCAGACGGGGTGACTGACTATTGAATTAGACTTGCATCAAGCTTGCGTTTGCAAGACTTATCACAGCATGACACCATCCTGGAGCAACCTTCGTATGCCACGAACATGCCATCATAGGTCAAAACATGTTTTTTGGGAGCTGTTATGCCAAAATCAGCCAAGTGTCATTTGTATGCTCTTTGGGATTTTGACCTGCACCTGGTGCAACAGGACAGAAAGCGGGTCCAGCATTGATTATATAAAACCTACACCGCACACTCTGCAGTTCAGCTTGCGGATTCCAACGTTTGATGAAGGGCTCACTCTTGCATGCGCTTCAAGTTTCAAAAATTGGCAAACAGTCTATGGCGGAAATGTGCAGGAATATGGCGGAAATTTGCGGACCGGAAATTGGCAGCATATATATTTGTTACATACAAAAATTATACTGTACTCAATCCTATACATGGTTGCGGGGAAAAGAAGACCTTCTTGAACATGTTTGTTAATAACAGAAGGAGCGCTCACAGCGGCACGTTTTTGATTAGCTTATATTATAGTTTATCAAATTATATAGCAGTAGGAAAATCTTCATCGGGCATCCAGCCAGCAAAGCCTTCATCACATGCTGCCTGGGATTCTGTTTCCCTTCTCTGCTTTGGCCCAACCCTTGCGCAACGTTGCCAAAGGTCCCCATCTTGGTAACCAAGATGATCTTCTGTCTCCAAGGCCATTCATGTTTTTTCTACCAGCGACCATGTTTTTCTAGCTGTGCTAGATCTAGCTGCAATGTTGTGCAATTTTGTTGACAGCTCTGGTGTGGCGTGCCTTCTCCTTTCGGCTTAGTGCCAGCTGGCGCAAGGGGCGGAAGCCTCTAACTGGAACTGCTTTAGCATCCACCTCTGGTGTTACTTTCTCACTTTTGACCGACTCGTTCGGTGCATGATCAGTGCAGTCTTCTTCAGCCGTCCCTGTCTTCTTTGCTGGCACCACTGCGGTATCTTTCAAACTCTCTCAAACATTGGCCAGCCAATGAGGCTGCTATACCCTCAGCTACTTCATTCATCCAATCTGGAAACATTGTTTGGTGGGATTCACCTTTCAAGTTGAAAAGCTGCATGGTTGGCTTCTCCCTTGCAGCAAGGTGGCCAGCCAGTTTGCCTTCCCCAGCTGTGTGTCCTTCTGTTTTCCTGCGGCATGGTGTGCCAATTTCCTGGTTGAAGGTGGGCACTCAAAGGCTTTGATAATCCAACCTGACATTTGTACCAAGCATGCCTTCTGCAGTTTTTTTCCTGCCATCGCAAGATTTGCCTTCCAGACTCTTGTTGCCATCATGCCTTCTACAGGCTGCCTTGCTACACTCTTCAAAAAGAACGTGCGAGTGTTTTTATTTGGGAAGCGTTGTTTTGGACATTCTGCGTTTGGGTACACATGAAGACATCTAGTACCACCTCGAACACTTGAAACATTCTACAATATTCTACACATACCATGGTGCAGGATGTTCCTTCTTTAGCCGGAGGAAAACACACACAATATATACGGACTGAGGAAGGAGCATGAGGATACCATGACCGATGCATTGGTGACCAAGCAAATTCCTACCGTATGTGTTGATTGCTCGACACCAGCACAGAGAACCACAGGGGACTCTAAAATGATGTTTTGTTTGTAGTTGTTTCTTTTAGGGGTGCGTTATTGCAGTGTTTCCACTGCCTAGCCACTGGCTGTAGCAGCAACAGCTAGTAAACGACCAATCCCTGAGAGCACCAAAGGCCGTGCTGCTGGAGCGTAAGCAAACTTTGGAATGCCTCAAGGTGCGAGGGATCGCTGAAACTGCTCCAGTTCCTTGTTTGACACACTCACATCAGGGGATACTGTATAGAACTGTATAGATGTTTGTTGTGTTGCCATAGCATAGAACCTGCAAGCAACAAAGTTCGGGCAATACCATGGCATATTAGTTTTTATCGATGGACATCGGTCTTTCCTTGCAGGTCGAAGAAATGCAAGCAACCCGACCGGCGGATAAAGACGTGATCCTGTCGAAGATCAAAGCGGATTTTGGCAACTATGCCAACTTCGACAGGAGCGGAGGGTAAAAACAGAGCCACTATCTTAAAGCCTACCTTGGGTACCAACGAGTTTGGGGGCATGGTTTCAGGATGTTTGTAGGTATATATACCTAATTAGGATGAATTTTTGGTGCTGAGTGTTGTGGGGCAGAGTCATATTGGATAGGCAAAACCATGAAGCTAGGGAGTTTTCAGTTGGAATGATTACAAACACTGACAGGAACCGAATCGGATCTACTATACACCCAATCCAAACAATCCAAACAACTTAAGACCATATGGATCTAGGCAATACAGTATAGTTTGCAGATAAACCAATAAATTGGTTCCAAGCGGCGGTTCGAAAGAACACATATAGACCGACTGAACGGCCTTGGTTCCTCATAGAGCGGAATTCCAGGCGAAAGATGGAGGGGTTTCACTGCTAAAAGGAAACGATCCTTTGATGTTCCGGAGTGATCGGCACAAGTTGTCAGTAATTTGCAAAAGCTCATCTTCGACCCGAAGATGGGCCTAGTCACTGCATGGAAAAAAGCTGATGCCTTGCAACAGATGGAAGAGCTCTCCCATGTCTTGAAATGGGTACGACTATCGACTGCAGTTGGCGATGCTTGGAATAAGTGAGATTCTGCTTGTTGTTTTTGTTCCCGATTCCATCCTATGGTAGGCAACCATGACCGCCCACTTTAGCTTAAGGCTCCGAAAGGTTGGTGTTTGCAACGCAAATCCAAGGATGGCCTGCAAGTGCGGCGAAAATGGTTTGTACAGTGAGTTCTCCATATGTCGTACAGCGAAAATGGTGCGCCGGTCGACCTCGAAGTAGACTTTGCAGTGGCACTTTCAGGAAATCCCACCACAAGAGTGGCGTTTTGTGTGGTCAGAAAATCGAATGCGCAGATGCAGGAATCAACTGCTGTTCTCCTGTCAATCCAAAAATCTACCAACAACCTTCAAGGCAGGCTTCGGATCGTCAGACTCAAGCTTACTGTACCTTATAATCTATGGATATGTATAAATAACAATATTTGCAGCATTCAGTATCATATATATATATATATCCAAAATGAGTATCAACAACATACCACCTGTATGTACTCCCACATGCTTCAACCATACCTGCCAAGTGTGTCATTTCCACATTACGCTGAAGATATATCAGTCTCCATCAAGCTCACTCAGGCATGGCGGCATGGGTGTGTGAGTTTTTTTTGTATGTCTCCCATTGATTGTTTCCCCATTCAAGGCTCATGTCTCCCCATGTCTGAAAACCTATCCCTTCATCTGAAAACCGGAGTCCATCGCATGGCTCGCTCGCTCACCATACCCATCCGGTCCGTCCGACTCCGCGGCGGCCCCCATGACGTCGCAGGAGGGCTATGAGCTCACCCTACCAGATGGCATGATCTATTTCTGGGGCTCCTTCGACCACCACGCTGTGAACATCACGGACGAGGCCACAGGACCTTAAGAGCCGCCGACGCCCTGACGCCATGTCTCGGTAGTTGTTGCTTGTTTTCTGCGTGGTTACATGCGACCCTGCTCTGATCTAATCCTACTCTCATCTAGGTAGTCAATTTTGTCTAGTGAATGTTTTACTTGTTTTTTCTCGGGAAGGGCGTTCTTCTTACGCCATCGATTGGCCTTTGGCTCTTGGTTGGCTGACTCATAAGAGGGAATCTCCCCAAGTATGTGTACACCCCCTCGTGTTCTTCCCGTTCGGTCGGACGTCATTGAAGAACACATGCTTTGGGGCCTTGCAGAGGTCATGTCCTGAAGGTGTATCGCAGATCTTGGATCTTCCACTTATGCAACAGCCAAAAGCACCCCAAAGGCAAAGATTCTTACACTTGTGTGGAAGATCCAGGGATACTTGATCTTTGCTACCTCCATAGAAGATGAGCCCAAGACTTGAGCCAGAAAATCCAGCTACCCTATTCATGTATTCCAGTTCCATGGCATGGGATTGATTCTATACATCCCAGCGGTATTTTTTGGCAATGTTTGGTTCTCCAAAGAACGTGTTTGACCCGAATCGAGCCGAGCCCTTGTGTTTGGGATTGTTTGGGCAGTCACCAACATGCAGATTTCAACATCCTTTGACCTTGTCCCTTTGCTTTACAAACTCCCTCACCGAAGTTCCACTTGTCACTCCTCTTCTCCAACAGAACCTCAACTATCTGCATTATATAAGAAAAACGTTCCAAAACCTGTTGCAAACCACTTTAAAAACTCAACCACCCCCAGAACAAGAACGGCCTCTGCTAGCCGCGGCGCTCTCCGCGTGGTTTCTTTGTTTTCAGCGCATTGAACGGCCTGTAGCCTCGGCTCTCCGCCGCGTGGCAGGGCGGGAAGCTGTTGGCCACCACCGAGCTGTGCTGCTCCGACTGGGACCCCACGGGAGAGCCCACCCGGCACGTTTGCGGTCGCGGTCGCGCATCGGAGCGAAGTTCCATTCGCGGGTGACCGAAGTTAGCTGGAGTCTACTATGACCCCCCTAGGCTATCCCTAGACATTCCAGTCGTTTCAGATCTCTTCAGGCTTCAGGTACGGTTTTTTGTGTTTTTTTCACCACGTCATGTAGGTGCGAGGGTCCAGTCGTACCGAACCTGAGAAGGTACGACTGGATCCATAGGGAATTAATCCCTAATTACTTATAGGAAAATAGCATTGGTGACTTGAGTACCTGGAGTCTCCCAGTAATGACCCTAGAAAATGGAACATGACCCGATTAAAAACAGGCAATTGTACTTGTCACCATCTTGTACCCATTGTTAGAGTTGTTTTTCTTGAGGGTCCAGGTATTTTAAACCCTTTCTTCTGTGTTGGGGGTCATGTCCCAACTTCCATCTAGGGAAGGAACCAGTCCGTTGGGTCCACTAAGTCCTCCAAGGCGGTGAAGCTGGACCTCTCCAGGAACGCTTCCTTATTTTATGCTGCTGAACCATCTATGCACCTATTTGATCCTAATCTATGGGATGTGAACTGAGATGGATGCATGATTTTTCAGCGACCAAGATGGTACATCCTGGCTTGGTCACCTGCGCCATCCGCTCGCTACCGCATGAAAACCAGCCAACGCCCCCTTTCGCTCTGAACGGAGGGGACACTCCCGAGACTCTCCGGATGGGACGCTCCCACTAGTTCCGTGCCTCCCATACCCAGACACTCTATGTATGCCATATATGCCTACATTGGGGTGGTTTTGGAGGTCAATGTAGGCATATATGGCAGTCCCATGGGTCGTGTCTGGGATATATGTCTGTACCGGACGTGAAGGTGGTCTCCTGTCCTGTCCGCGGCAGGTTCTACCGCTTGCGAGTGGCGCCGATGGTGGACGTGGGGCTCCTTTTGTGTAGCCTCGTGTGCATCGACCAGGTTGGGACGAGCGAAAGCCGCCCAAAACAGACGAATGTAACGCCCTGCCCATTGCGCGATGTACAATCGGTGAAAGCAAAAGTTGGGGAAGATCTGATCAAAAAGATGGGTGGGTCGTAGCCACTTGACCTTCTAATTTTATGTGATGTGTTTGGGAAGAGATGGATACCCTTTGCACCCAAAGAAGATGAAGACCAGATGTGTTCCAATGTCAAAATTGATATCTGGCGTTTGAAGACTTAAGATTTGGGAGGTGTGGTGTCGCTTGCTGCAGTGTCTACAACTTCGAACTGCAGTTTTTGGAGCAACTTCTTGCCAGCACGGGACCCCCAGCAAAAACCCGGACCAGTGCGCCTTGAGGCCTTGAGCCCGGACCAGTGCAAGCATGAAAGCTCTAAAAAGTGGGGCATCTCGACACGGCCTTTTTAGCACGGCTCTGGCAGTGGTTTGCAAGGACAGTGGGCTGCTGGACCATCGGAACGACGAACAAGACTACTTTGGGTCCGCTGGACCTCCAAGTGCATGACAAACGTACCTGGAGTCTCCAAGTACCGCTGGAAAATGAGTACAAGCAGGTTTTTTTAAGCTGAAGCTGTCTTCTTTTTAATGGAGTCATGTCCCATTTTCTGTTGTACTTTGGAAGGTCCAGGTATATATTGTTTGGACAAAATCAGGGGCCTTTGGTGGATGAACCCCCAATGACCACCCTTTCCGTTTAGATGGACGTAGGATGCCATGGTGCGTGCGGCGCATGCGGAGATTCTGGCGGCCAGGTGTCGGTGTTGAAGAGTCGTACCTGAGGGAGCCCGGCTCTTCAAGCCCTGTCGGTGGTTGAGCAGAGCAGTTCAGGTGAACACACAGCAGCTTTGAACGAACAAAAATTGACCCGCTCCAAAGCTCGTGAACGAGTCAGTGCGAGGGGCAGTTGCTCCAGGAGCAGTTGCTCCAGGAGCAGTTGAGCGACAGCGACCCGGTCGCGTTTTCGGTGGTATCCATGATTTACTGGTGAGTTCCAATGGTGGTATCCATTTCCAATGGTGGTATCCGTTTTTGGTGTTCTTCCCCATTGGATCCCAGGGAGCCGGAACTCACTCACTCACTCGAAGCGATCATGGGAGTTGCTGAGAGCCCCCAATTTTCGGCCGAGCCCGCCCTCAACAGCTGCTGCCTGTACCTCCCTGTTCTTCCTTATAGGGGTCATGTCCCATCCTCCAAGCTGTTACCTGTACCTGTACCTCCCTGTTCTTCCCTATAGATCCTATTAGGGGTCTTGTCCCATTTCTGCACCTGGAGGTTGGGTTCCAGACTCGGCTCGCCGGATCGGGCGGATCGGGGTCGAGCTGTTTGAAAAAGGACCGCCCTGACTCTGGGGTGATCCACTGTTACCCCATGGGTCAGGTCACCTTACTAGCCCTATGGATCTTACTAGCCCTAAGGAGGGTGATCTTACTAGCCCTATGGATCCACGGATCCACCGTACCTCAGAAGGCATCCCTGGACCCTCCTGGCGACCGACCGACCGCCTACATCAAGGGCCGTCTCCGTCTCCGTCCTCACCGTAGCGACCTGGTTCGGTGGCAGTGGATCCATAGGGTGAATGCGTTGGCATGAGTTTGCTATCGTTTTCCTGATTCTTGTTCAATATCCTTGTAACTACCCAAGGAGCAAGCTGTTTGTTTGATTGCAGCAGCAGATGTGAAACAACAGTTAAGTTCTACGTAAGTCATTGTCAATTCTTCAATTTCCAGGTCGGTCTTTGGTTGCATCATGATACCATCTGCACCTGAGCTGACACCTGTACCTTCGCTGCTCACGTCGAAAGCGATTTCGCGTCATGGTTTCACCGCCGCGTTGGTCGAGCCCAGAGTGGTTCGACTCCCAGTGGCTGTTAGAGGCTGAGCAGACTCTCAGGGAAGCAAGAGAATCCCCTACTTAGGAGTTGCACTTGCCACTGATAAATGGCAGAGTACCCTCTGCCCATAGAGTACCTTCTGGCAGGATCTGGCAGGTATCTGGAGTCGAGCTGGTCGTTTCTTGGAATTGGAGTACAGTCATATCTGTTTTCCGGCCATGAAGGTCATATCCCCCTTTGCGATCTTTTCTTCTCCATTGAACGCTCTAACCACCTGCCAGACCATCCCGGCAAGCCTGGAATCTTAGCATTAATGGACCTCAATGGGTACCAAATCCGAATCCTGCTACAGGTCGACTAGCTAAGCCTGGGTGTGCTGCACTGTGTGAAGCTGGAGACCCTCCAATCGATGGGTCTTGGGCTCCGGCTTCTTCCGGGGGGCCTTTGGAGAATCGTCCTATATAGCCAGACACGACTAATGGGAGTGGTATATTGGTACCGATCAGTTGGGGTTTGGTTTTGGGGTCTATACCCAGGCATATAT